CTCTCACACAAAGTCATCAGGATAGGTTTTCCCAATTATGATAATACTTACATTGGAAAATCAGACAAATAACATAGATTCAAGCTTTATCAAGTAGATTAGTTGATAACATTCTGGATTGAAAAAAAAAAGCCCTTGTAAATCTGTGAAAAGTCTATCTTTCATTAGACAGAAGCTCCGTGAAGCTCTAAACATGACCTTTTGTTTTATTTATAGGGAAATGTGTCCTTCTCATGTCCACAACCACAGGCCATCCCCGTCACTTTTCTGAGCTCTAGGAGTTATCTGGCTCTGCCAGGCAACTCTGGGGAGGACAAAATATCTGTCACATTCCAGTTTCGAACATGGAACAAAGAAGGACGTTTGCTGTTGGGTGAACTGTGGCATGGTGCGGGAAGTTTTCTCCTCTTTCTTAAGGATGGAAAACTCAAACTGAGCCTCTTCCAGCCAGGACAGTCATTGAGAAACGTCACAGCAGGTAATGCATGTTCACGTAAACCTTACAACCAACCAGAGGGGGAATCATTGTGTACTAAGTCAATACCTGAGGTCACGAGACACCTAATGCTCTTATTTGGAGGAACAGGATGGCCATTTTCCTTGAGGATCTTCCAGACTGTTTATATGAGGGACATGTAGCCATTACTGTAGTGATTCTTGAACCCCAAATGATTATATACAAGAAACGAGAACCCAGCAGCTCTGGAGGCTGAGGCAGGAGGATTGCAAGTTCAAAGCCAGCCTCAGCAACTTAGTGAGTCCCTGTCTCTAAATAAAATATAAAAAGGGCTGGGGATGTGGCTCAGTGGTTAAGATCCCCTGGTTCAATCCCCAGTACCAAAAAAAGAAAAAAAAAAGGAAGGAAGGAAGGAAGAAGAAGTGCACTTTTCTGCAGATCTACTCCTGATATATCAGAAAAATATGTCCTATACTTAAGCTCCATTTCCTGATAAACAGGTGCCCAGCCTCCATCCAGTAGAAATGCTGAGGGGACCTAGTGAAGCAGACACCACACAGAGATGTTCACTTTTCTGCTACTTTCCTCCCTTCTCCATCTCTCCTCCTCCCTCTGCCTGCTCTCCTCTTCTGCTATGGGGAGAGGTATTCTCCACACAGTAGGTAACTTGCAGCAAAGGAGGAGATGCACGGAAGCAGCCTTGGAGATTTTGAGCCCTGGGTTCTTGCAATCTCAGGAAGGATCTCAGACGAGTCATATGCAGGAGTCCATTTGGGAAAGTGAGAATAAGAGAGAAGTGTACAGCACAGACGTGAATGGCTCAGCCTGTCTCTGAAGAGAAGGGAGTGGCCTTACAGAACTGAGGATTTCTAAGGGGTCTGAGTTTTTTTTGTCCTTGTTCTATTCTCTTGAACCCCCTTAAGTGGTTAATTATGTGAATTAAGTAGAAGGGAACTTGATGTCAGGGTCACAAGGAGTGGTCATAACATGGTTTTGGTGACAAGGGAGGGTCCTGGCCACTTGGTTACAAGAGATGGTGGTGGCATGGTCTGGAACTGGGAGTTCCATTAAGGGATTATAATTAACCGTGGTTGGAGAAGGTTCTGGAACACCAGGCCCATCTCTCTGGAGCTTATCTGCTTTGATGAAAGTTCCCCCTGACTTCAAGCTAGACTTCCCTGAAGGGATTATGATTGTGTATGGGTTGTCGAAGGCTGGACAGTTTGTCCCCCAGCCCTGCCATTTTGCAGAAGGCTGCCTGCCCAGTCAGGCTCCCTGTGGCCTCAGTTTGGGGACTCACGGATTTTTCTTAGTGATGTGTCTGAGGTCTTCCCTGTTTCTTACTGCCCTCTGTTGTCCTTCCCCTACCCACCGGCTCATGGCCGACTCGCCTACCAGACAAATTGTTAACTGTTGCCTTGTCCTGAAAGGTGCCAGCAAATACCAGGAGCCCTTACCCTTTTGCTGAAGGCTGACCCATTTTCAAGACACCCTGTGTTCAGGGAAGAATCTCAGCAATTCAAAAATCACAGAAGCCCCTAAGCCCTCCACTATTTTCCCCTTGTGAAGTGGAAACCTTTGTCTTCAAAGAAGGGACAACAATAGGAAGGAAATCTGGTTTTATTAGCACAATGGTTATCCCCCCCATCAGGCCCCCTTTTTCCCATCTCCCTCCCAGGACCTGTTTTTGTTGGGCAGATGCTTTCCCTGCTGGGTGAGGGGCTCAGATCCTCAGGAGACAAACCTAGCAGTAGATTTGACACTGATCTGCTGTGTGGTGTGGGCAAGTTTGGTAACTACAGGGTTTATTAAATTTTCCTGATTGGATTTGCAGATTTAGGACAAGATCTGAGTCCTGAATCCGTATCATGCCTAAATTGGCCTCAGGGCTTTTCTTAAAACAGGAAGGGAGTTTAAACAAGAAGAAGGGGCAAAGGGTCATTTTCCATAAGACCAGGGATTATCAGGCCCCAAACAGATTTCTTTCGGCCTGAGACACACTTGACTACTGCTGAATATTGCTGACGAAAGTCGGATTTTGAGACCTAAAAAGAAGGAATTTAGAAAGTAGGGCCTTATTTCAATACTTCTGGAATAATCCAGCAAGCACAGATATTAGAATCTGTATCTACCCTCCCTGTGATCCCAGAAAAATGACTGAAGATAAAACAGAGGTATTCAGATTGGACATGTATTCTTCATCTTTTGAAAATGCAAAGCTATTTTCTGTTTCCTCACAAAGAGCACTCCCCACAGTACACAAACATATGTCAAAGAGCAACTCATTCACTAGTAACAGAACCCATTCTGAGGAAATAAAAAGGAGATCACCTGCCAGTTTAGTGAATCTTCTTCACAAAGAGAGAAAAGAATGAAATGGTCTTATTATTGAATAAGTATTAAACCAGACTTCCATGCCCATCTCAGCGATTGCTATCAAGACGATAAAAAAGAGAAAGAAATCTCATCCATCTCTGTAGCCAACCAGCTGTCACCCATTACACATAAGTCCTCAAGGTTAAAAAAAAAAAAGTCTAATAAATAAGCCAGGCTCAGGGGCACATGCCTAGCATCTCAGCTGCTCTGGAGGCTGAGGCAGGAAGATCACAAATTTGAGGCCAGTCTCAGCAACCTAGGGAAACCCTGTCCAAAAATAAAAAAATAAAAAGGGCTTGGGATGTGGCTCAGTGGTTAAGCTCCTCTGGGTTCAATACCCAATGCAGGAAAAAAAAAAAAGAAAAGAAAGAAAAATCCAAGAAACAAGACCATGTAAAAGTAGAAGGGAACTATCAGTGAAGAGGAACAGGATGTGGGAGGAGAGGGGATGGTGTGTGGGAATGTCCAAAATGTGTCACCTTCATGGGAGAATGTGAGGCCCACTACTCAGTATAATTAATATGCTCTAATAAAGAATTTCCTACCAAGAAAAGATAACTCCTATTCAGGTAAGAGGGCCCAACAGGGCCTTTTGCTACAATAGCCCATACTAAATTCCTCTGGTAGATGGGGAGACCTCTGTAACGACTCCTTGTTTTATCCAGAAGAAAACTACAGCCCTTCCCTGTTTGACAAGCAGGTAAGTCACAAGGTGGGGCCAGTACCCTGGTTAAACCCCCACACAGACATCTACAAATCTACATGTCAAAGAAACGTCTCCAGGACCCCAAGAAAAAAAATGTCCTTAGGTTGTCAAACTACAAAAAATCTAAATCGAATTTTTGTAAGTTTTTTTTTTTATAAGATTTCTAAAGTTATTTTAAAACTAAGCATTTTTTTCCCTGAATCTACATACACATCAAAGAGGCAGAGGAAGAATTTACACGTTTTCTTTTTTTTTTTTTTAAAGAGAGAGTGAGAGAGGAGAGAGAGAGAGAGAGAGAGAATTTTTAATATTTATTTTTTAGTTCTCGGTGGACACAACATCTTTGTTGGTATGCGGTGCTGAGGATTGAACCCGGGCCGCATGCATGCCAGGTGAGCGTGCTACCGTTTGAGCCACATCCCCAGCCCCAGAATTTACACCTTTTCTAAAAGAAATGTTCTAAGAAAAGGGAGCGCGAGTGAAAGTCTTTGGCATTAAGGAAGTTTTTGTTTGTGTGTTGCTGAGGCTGGCTTTGAACTTACAGGCATGCGCCACTGTGGCCAGTGATGTGTGGTTTACACCAGGAAAGCCAGTTCAAAAAAGAACTCCAAATGCTTCACATGTATAGTCAGAAAAAGGAATCCTGAAGTGAAATTGCACATAAGTGCAAATCTAGCAAAACTGGTCAGTGTCCAAAGGACAGCAAAGCCCTGTGTTCCTTCCCTGAACTGTGTGTGTGTCTCTGAATAGATCTCACATGCATTGCTCTCTGTTCTCCACAAGTCAGTTTCTGTCCCAACACGGTTGTAAAATACCTAGTCAAAGATGGAGAGTTATAAAATCAGCTTAATTCTTTTACTGAAAAGATTCCCAGCCACCTCTTTGGTGCATTTCAAAGTCTGTTCAGATCTTTTCCTTCAGTAGTTAGACATTATTGCTAACATGTTGCATGTTTCCTAGATGTGGCAAAGTGCTGAGCAAGCGTTTTCTCCAGTTCCGGCTTGCACTTAACAAGAATCAAATACAATCAAAGTCCTTACATCACACCCACACACCCACCGCTTTAGCTGATGGATTTGGGAGAGTGACATTGTGCTTCCAATTTAGTTGTTGACAACAGATCATCTTCACATGCAAACATGTTTAAAAAGGCATCTCTGTTGTAGAACCTTACTTCATTAATTTAAGATTTCTCATTAAAATGTTCATAAATTCTGTGTATGATTTCCTTGGATATAAATTATGGTCAAAGACCAATTATAACCTAACAGTAAAAAAGAAATTATTTGCAGGATAAATGATAAACTTAAAAAAAAATTACACCAAGTTTACTTTCATTTTTCGAAAGATATTTTTAGAGGGCACTATCAGGATTTTACATAGTTATAAAAAGAACATGTCAAGGATTTTATTTAACTCATTAGTTAGTGAGGGAACCAGATGTTACAACAAATTCAAAGGATAATTCAGAGGATGACAGATAATTCAAGCAGAAAGTGACAATGAATTTACGTATAAGATAAAACTAGTCTGTTTCCTGGGGTGGGACTAGGGGGGAGGAGGAAAGAGGTCAGTTGGGTTTCCACCAAATTCATTGGCATGTCTGGGGACAACCATCTTTCACTTAATTTGACTTTTCTATGGTTTTAACAGTAGCAAAGGAGCTCAAAGAAGGTAAAAGGCACAGAGATGCACAGTATCAAAGGAACCCAGAGATTGTGTTTAGACAGGGCCTGTGTTTACATTAGTCATCCGGTGCGTTTCAAAGTACAGTTTTTACTTATGACTCTTAGTATTTCTGTTTCTGCTTCACATATCACTGAAGGTTAAAAGGGAAAACTGGAATATTAACGTTAATCTTTAAAATATAAGAACCACACTACATTTGAAATGCTAATAATATATTAACTTTTTTAAAAAAAGTATGTGTGGCAAGGAAATAAAATGAGCAAGAACCATTTTAATAATTAGCAGGCTTCCTAAGATCATCATCTAAAATGTTAAATGTATTACAAAAATTCCTCATAACCTAGAGGTTAATAGATTTGACTCCTTAAGATTTTTGCCTAATTTTGAAACATCAATGAAATATTCACATAATAGGCTAATTTCACTTTTAATCCATTTATTGGCACATATCTTTGACATATTACTTAATGAAAGAAAATAATAGACTACCTCTAGTGATTATAAATACTTAGTGCTTAAAGTTGTCATCAAAGAATTTCTCATGCTATCATATTATTTCAAAATAATATGATATAATAATACAGATATAAATGTAAATATATAAAAATAGTGTACTTACATGTAAGGTGTACCTCTAGTGACTTCCTAAGCATTTTAAATCAAATATTAAATAAAAGAAGGTACAACGATGTCTGCAATTGTAATGCTCTCATTCAGAGAACACAGGGACATATGTTAAAGATTTTAGCTGGGGTGTGGCTCAGTGGTTGAGTGCTTCCCTAGCTTGTGTGAGGCACTGGGTTCGATTCTCAGCATTACATATAAATAAGTAAAATAAAAGGTCCATTGACAACTAAAAATAAAAATAAGTTTAAAGAAGATTTTATTTAGCTCATTAGTTACAAGGAAACCAGTAAGATGAACCAATCAGTTCAAAGGAGAGTTTCAAGTACCATGCATGCTGGTTGACAAGGAATAACAAAATGAGTTTACAGATACAACTTCATCAATAACTAATTATTGTAGCTCACAGGCACAATAATTTGCATTTCTGTGGACAAAAATCATTTTACATTGCCACCAGTTTTGCTCAACTATTCTGAAGTCCCTCAAACAGTGAAAGCAGATTGACCTTGATGGATGCACTATAGTGGGTGCTTAATGACCTTTTCTCCCATTCAAGACTTTTACAGTTTTTCTTTTCTTTTTTCTTTTTTTTTGTACCAGCGATTAAATTTAGGGCCATCAAACCACCACTGAGCCACATCCCCAATCCTTTTATTTTTATTTTTTTATTTTGAGACAGGTTCTCACTAAGTTGCTTACGGCCTTGCTAGGTTGCTAAAACTGGTCTTGAACTTGTGATTCTCCTGCCTCAGCCTCCTGAGTCACTGGGATGATAGGCATGTGCCACCACACCTGGCTACAATTATTATCGACTTAATTTCAACAACTATCTCCTGATTCTTTGAGAATATTTATTTTTATTAGATTTAGTGAAGCAAGTAAATATTCCCTTTGAAGACTGAACCTTATAAACTGCATTTTGAATCCCATGGGTAAAGACTTTGGGCATGTATGTCTGATCATTAAATTCAAGGTGCTACTTTAAGCACATTATCAGAATTTATTAAGTGACTCCTTAGAAGGAGTAATATTTTTCACCTATGTGCTCTGGTCAAAATAAATGAAATCCTTTCATTAAAGAAAGGTGGCTAATTTTTCCTTTTGCCTGTGATATAGCAACATGTAAATACTGCTCTCGCTGGACTGATTCAGTGGTCTGAAAAATTGTTTTCAAGTGTTTACAAAGTTCATAATTCATCGTTGCCTTTCACCGACCTTTCCTCCAGGTGCTGGGCTCAATGACGGGCAATGGCACTCTGTGTCCCTGTCTGCCAAATGGAACCACCTGAGTGTGGGGGTGGACAGTGACATGGCTCTCCAACCGCTGGTGACGGGGCTGACGGGTTCCAGCAACACCTATTATTTTGGAGGTAAGTGAAGGCAGGTCAACTACAGGGGACAGTGGAAACATCTTTATCTTTACTGCCCTGCCTGCATCCAGGGTCTCTTGTCAATTTAAATCAGTTCATATTAAGAAATGATCTCTCTCCTTCTATAACGTATCTAAAAAGTTTAATTTTTTTAATCTTACTGATGCAAAAATCAATCCTTCCAGTAATTTTACTTACTGTTTCAGTGACCTCATAATTTCACATAATGTTAAAAGAAAATACATGCTAGCTACACACAGTAAACTGGAAACAAGTGGAATTTTTTCAGACGGCAAATGTCATAAGCAAATTCTCTACAACAGATGATTTTAGACTTCTAACAGCTTTTAAAAATCAAATAAATCAGGCTGGGGTGTGGCTCAGTGGTAGAGTGCTCAGCTAGCATGTGCAAGGCCCTGGTTTCTATCCTCAGCACCACATAAAAATAAATAAATAAAATAAAGGTATTGTGTCCAACTACAACTAAAAAAATAAATATTAAAAAATCAAATAAATCATATTGTCCAAAGTCATTGGCTTACTTAAAATCTTATGATACATAAGATTCAACTCATATTATTTAATCATTTTTACAGCTCAGTTTATAAATGGATAAATAGATGTTTTTTAATAGGAAGGGAGTAATAGGAAGTATAAAGTATATTGTAAAGAATTTTTTGAACATCAGAAATAATAAACAAAAATGAATAAATAGGACACAAGTATACTAAATGTAGCCGTAGTGCAATTGGTGTAAAGGGCCAGATATTTATATCCTCCCTAAATCCATATGGTAAAATCTTAACTTTGGGAGGATAATTAAGTCATAAGGGTGGAACCTCAAGAATGGGATTGGGATCCCTCATAAAAGGACCCAGAAACTTCTCTAGCCGTCTTTCGGCTCTGCGAGGGTGGCCACCTGTGAACCAGAAAGCAGGCCCTCTGCACACCACGTCTCCCCTCGCCCTCATCTTGGACTTGCCCCTCTCCAGAACCGTGGGACATTAAATAGCCTCAGTTGGTGGTGTTTGGTGTCGCCATCTGAACTGATTTAGGCATCCAATGGACAGCACAGATCTATTATTTGGAAGGAAATTTTGCTTTTTTATAAAATTTTTTTTATTAAAAGAAACACTAAAAGCAACGTCATGGATCCTAGATGCTTCCGTGAGATGTGATGTGCCTTCCAGATTAGGCTAGTGTACCCGAACGCCAAGGGAAGAGAAATGGGTGAGGGAGCCACACAAAGGAGCACAGATACCTGTGCATGGCAGGACTGTCCCCATGCCACGGTGACACCACCTATGGGAAAAGAAACTATGGGAAAGGAAACTCATTCTGGAGTAAGAGAGCTTTCAACCCAGGAGGAGATTCCGGGGAATGTGGGCGCACTTCTCACCATACGGTTAGTGGATACCCCAACACCCAGGGCCACTTAACTAATGCAACCAGGTGTGGCTCTCACTGGAGTGCTCCACAGAACTACATCACCCGCCTTTCTTTTTCTTTCCCTTTTTAATTTTGAGGTTCTGGGGATCAAACCCCAAGGCTTGTGCATATTAGGTGAGAATCCTACCACTGAGCTAAACCCCACCCATCACCCATCCCTCCTTTCCTACAAAATGAAGAATCACATGTACTCAGGAATATAGACCTAGTAGAAAAACTCTTTTGCATACATTCCACAATTGCCTTCTGATCCATCTGTGTGTGTGTTTCACATTGAACATGTACATTTTCAAACAAATAACCACATATATTCAAAGACTTCACTAAGCTGTTTTGTGCCACAGAGTGTATATTTATACTGTTACAGTAAATTGAAATAACCTAGAAAAATCCCTGAGCAAACAAAGCTAGTTAGGCTTCATAAGTGACCTTAACCGTGTTTGATTTGCAAACATAAGGCAAAATTTAACTTGGTTTATTTCTTGTAAATGCCTGTCTTTCAAAAATTCAAAACTGATGTTAATAGATCAGAAGCCACCAACTAACTTATGTACACAGGGATTTTCCAGCACGGTATACCAAATGGGCAGTTGTACAACCAAACAATCGGTGTGTGTGTGTGTGTGTGTGTGTGTGTGTGTGTGTGTGTGTACAGAAAGCAGATGCCCACTTCCATGTTGGAGGACAAAGCCTTCCCATTCCACCCTCATGGCAGAACCAACTCCCTTTTATAGCTGCCTCACTCGAGAATTGCTCTTAGCTCAAATAAAACACTTTGCATTTTACTTTTCCTCAATTTACCTCTTAACAGTTGTACACATGTATCTATAGTTAGATGCTCCACTTCTCTGGGTAAACAAAAGGAGTTTCAGTTTCAAGACATCAAGGAATTAGCATCTTGATTGATCTTGAATGGATGATAGCCCTCTAAATAAATAAATAGAAAATGCCGCTACACATGCCAAACTTTGGGACCAAGCTCAGTTAGCTTTAGGAATGGTGGTCCAAGATTGTCAGCCATCTGAGGAGTTTTGCATGTTGAGGATGATGCTAAATTTAGGATTTCCAAGTATGAGTTACAAGATACCCCTTACGTCTGCTCTCAAAAGATGTGATATTGTCAAATAATTATCTCTAATAAAAAAATTTTCCAACCAAGTGCAGATGAACAACAAACTGTTCAGGGATACTCTGTGAAGATGAGGACAAAAATCTGTATAATGAGAGCAGATGACAGAATTGTGATCCAAGTGGCTCTGTTTGCACAACTGTTAGCCCAGATGGAAAAGGTCCAGAGAGAATCCACCAGACAGACAATAGGAAGTGTGAAACGAGGCACTCTCTGGGAATGTGTGTTCATACCCGTTCCCATTTCCTTCAGAAAGTATTTGATGTTTCAACCACATGAAAGCCAACGGCATTTCATGGAGGAATGTGTGAACATCTTGGGTGGGCAAAGCTCCCCCCAGAGCTGCCCTTATCCCTGGAAGCCACGAATGCGTTACATGGTGGGAAAGACTTTGCAGATGTAATTGAGGTTACAGACCTTGACATGGGCACATGGTCCTGAATTCTCCAGGCAGGCTCAATGGAATCTTAAGAGCACTTGGGGATTTGACTCTGGTTGGTGGCAGAGAAGCCCAAGGGAGGTGTGACAGAAGATTCAGGCAGATTAGAAATAGACGTCTGTGCTGTTGCTGGTTTAGAAGATGGGTCCAGCAATGTGACTAGGAAAACAGACAGCCAGAAGGATCCAAGAGGCCCCTGCTGACCAGTAAGGAAACTGGACCTCATCCCTACGACTCCTCAGTCTTTCAACCATTTGAAATAGATACGCAGCAACCACCACCCAAGTGGGCGTGTGCACAGGTAAAATCCTATTTTCTTCAGAGGTGATGAGATGGGTTGGCTTGTCCCTCCCTCAGATTCACAGGGAGCTCAGACTATGACCGTATCTGGAAATAGGTCTTCCCTGGTGAGGGTGGAGCAAGTCGTGCTCTGTTGGTGGGAATGTAAATTAGCACAGCCAGTAGGGAAGACAGTGTGGCCGTTCCTCAAGAGGCTAGAACCGGAGCTACCTATGACCCAGCTCCTGGGCTTATAGCCAAAGAAAATGCCATCTGTGTGTCAGAGACACCTGCACTCACAAGGGTGTCACACACTGTTCCCAACAGCCAGAATCTGGAATCCACCCAGTTGTGCATCCGCAGATAAACGATTTTTTAAAAATGGTATATAAACACAATGGAATGATGCTCAGGTGCAAAAAATCGTGAAATCTGGTATTTCCTATGGCATGGATGAACCTGGAGCACATTATGTTAAATAAGCAAGGCTCAGAAAGACAAACACTGCATGATCTCACTTTCTTGTGAATCTAAAACAGCAGATCTCATAGAAGTTGAGAGTGGAATAATGGTGACTGGAGCCTGGGGGTGAGGATGAGAATAGTCAACGGGTGCATTGCATACCTCAAGATAGAGAGGAGATTTTAAATGTACTCACCCAGAAGAACTGATAAAAAGTTATGGTGATGGACATGCTATTTATCCTGAGTTGATCATGCATTACCCAGTGTGTACATGAATTGCAATGTCATATTGAAGTTCATAGATATGAACAAATTTACATAACAAAAAGTACAATTGATTTTTAAAAACTTAAATTTAAACAAATGAGGTCATTAAAATGACCTCCAATCTAATACGATAGGTGTCCTTATTTTTAAAAAGCAGGGGGGATAGCCAGGCAGGGTGGTGCACATCTATAGTCCAGCAATTTGGGGGGGCTGAGGCAGGAGGATTGCATGTTTGAGGCCAGCCTCAGAGATTTAATGAGGCCCTAAGCAACTTAAAATAAAATAAAAGATAAAAAGGGCTGGGGACATAGTTCAGTGGTTAAGTGGCCTTGGGTTCCATCCCTAGAGCCAAAATAAAAAAGGGAAATGAGAACACAGAGAAACACAGAGGGAGAACATCCAGAGAGACACCATGTGGATATGGAGCATAGGATGATCCACCTGCAAAGCTTCCTCCTGATCCACCTGCTGCTTCCTCCTGGGCCGCAGCACACTGCTGTGCAGCTGGCCTACGGAGGTCCGATTCAGGCCTCAGTACCCTGCTGCTACCACTCTGCCAGGAGCCCCTTGACTTTTCAATTCTTTCAAAAAATATTTAGTTAGCAAAAATTATACACGTGCATGCGTGTGTGTGTGTGTGTGTGTGTGTGTGTGTGTGTGTGTGTGTGTGGTACACATAATATAAATATACATCATGTACGGATTACCACTGTCAGATTAATCAACACATCCATCCCACCATTCACAGTTACCACTTGTGTGTG